TTCCTGGAAAATGAGACTGAGAACCCATTATAAAGAAAAAAAGAGATGTGAAAAGGCTATCATCCTGTGAGTCTACCCAGAGTACTTGGCAGGTCCACTGGATCGCTATCTGTGTCAAAACTGAACCTATAAAGTCGACTGGGTATCCACCAAACGTCACTGATGCACATTAAATACAGTTCTTACATTCTGCTCCCATGATTTGCAGCAGTGTGTAAAGCTGCTGCCAAACATTCATCGCTTCCTGCATGTGTTTCACAATAAATAAATTTTAATATGAAGGCCGTGGTACGCCTTTACTTTGAAAAAGTGCTGACACTGACTTTTGTGGTTGGCTAACAGTAACTTCGCATGGACGGAAAAATTTGTTACAAAGCTCGATGAAGGAGAACTGACGTTACATCTTATTAAGAGGAACTTAATATGATGCTAAAAAGGTATTTTTTTGTATGTGGCTGCTTGGATGTGAAAGTGCATTTAAGCCAAATTCTCTGGCCCCTTCTTAACGTGAAGAGATAGACAAGACTCTAACTGAAGCAAGCAAATAGTTTCAAATGTAAAGCTATTCCTTTAAGGTACAATTGAGAACAGCAGGAAGCATATTTAATGGTGACTGAGCAGGTAAATCAGAGATTTTACTGGAGACTGATAACGAAAACAGTAAAAGCAGAAGTTTACGACAATGTTTGAACCATTTAGTGTCACACAGCATGAGTTTTCCAGCCCAGTGTAGTTCCTAAGTGTGTGTGTATGTGTGTATGAATAACTGGGTATGTTCAGGCTCCATATGGTAACCATAGCAGGTCCTTCTCATTGCAGCTATAACACACGTTTAGAGAAAGACAAACGACAGCTGTATTTTCTCTGTGGGTCTAATTGTTTCCCAGCGACCACTTAGCTCGTCACATTATGAAGGGGCAACACACGGAACACCACCCACACCCACACGTTACAAAAACAGACACTGACACAGGCACACACACACACACAGACATGATGAGGATGAGGAAAGCAGAGGCCTTGTATACAAAAATGTCAGTTTAATGAATTCCTAATTTAAACAAAGTGGATGTTGAACTTTGACCTATCTGAGAGTTTTTTTTTTCACAACAGATGATTTTATCCTCGATGCTGGAGACAGATAGCTTTTAGGATTAAGCAGCATGCGCACACACACACACACACACTGTGGTCCAGTACCTTCCTGTGTGGCGTGATGTGCTGTGTCATGGCCATGGGGAAGCTGTGAGCTCCTTTCATCTGTGTCTTCTCCCAAAGAGAAGCAAGTCTTTGGACACACTCGTCCCTGGAGCACAGTGGGACGCTGGACTTGCTCTGATCATGAGAGAGAGAGAAGAAAAATCAATAAAACTTTTACACAAAACAAAGAATATGGTTTGGACAGAGATAGAGGAAAAGAAATACAATCAAGTTTTGTATTGCAGGATATTCCTCATCTGTACAGTTCTGCATAGATTCCCAAATAAGATGGTTTTAATATCAACATTCAATTTAAACTTATATTTCTGGTTTTACTGCTAAACGAGAAGAAGTCAAGATTTTCTACAGTGTAAAACTATTCCAGTGAGCATAAAAAGTAGCATGGAAATATATCAGAACCAGATTAAAGATGGAGTAAGCCATTCTGGAGAAAGAAATGAGCAAAAAATAAGTTTCTGGATGTGTATACATGCTTTTAGATACAATGACACATTATGTGCACTACAGGTGTGTGTTCCAGTTTATGCACCTGCAGATGTAGCAGCATGATGTGTATCCACAGATGAGGCTGTCGGCTGGTCAGGTTGAAACAGGACTTGGCGTACAGACAGTAATGGCCCTTAAGAGGACAGGAGAACGACAGCTTGGCCACACATCCTCTGTTTGAATCTGTCACAGACACACAAACGCATAAAAATGGCAAATTCCTTCAAATTTAGCAGATGTTCCATGTGCCCATCTTAAATGGAAATTCCAGAGCAAAAGCAGAGTCAGCTCCCTTTCTCTGTGTGTTTCTCTCGGTCTCTTGCACATATGGACTTGTGTAACCTTGGGAACATATTTACAGAGTGATTCATAGCATGCAAGGACACTGAGTCTCATAATCATCAAAATGTCTTCTCTTCCCACCAGCACCTCCCACGAACTCCCACCTCTCAGCCAAAGAGAAGAAACTTGCTTCACATGGCTATCATCTGGTAGATCAAAATGAAACACTGAAGGTTACTTTTTGGAGTGCTTCGTTGTAGTATTTTTTAGTTCTATGATACCCATGTAAAATGAATTCTCTGCAGCACAGCTGGGCCTGAGTTTGATAGTTAAATAGATTTGGGATTTCTTCTGTCTTTTAAAGCAGTCGTGGAAGGTTAGATGAGAAGATTGATACCACTCAAAGCAAAAAAAAGGTGACTAGTGTGCACAACCAAACCCTCGTTGGGTGCAGGTGCAGGACAATAAACAGCATGCAAAGGAAAATGAGAGGTTGGATGCACACTGAAATTCATAAGCTAATAAAATTGTTATTGATGCAACATATTTGTCTGTAAGATCTTTGACAGCTGGCTGTATATACAGACAAAAAAATGACAGCTCCATCTACAATGGAGTCTCCACTGGCAACCGCTTACAGCAAATTGTTTTTTTACACACGGATGGGGAAAAAAGTTACCTTTGGACAGAGAAAGAGCTAGCTGTTTCCCTCCCGTTTTCATTGTTTTTGAGTTAACCCAACTGGCTTCTGGCTGTAGCTCTATATTTACTGGCAGATATGAGAGCGGTATATCCTCATCTAACTCTCTGCCACAATGCAAATCAGTGCATTTCCCAAATCCAAAGGAATCAAACTATTCCCTTAAACTGGCACTCATAGTAAAAACTCTGAAGCTATGCTGGCTATCTGCAACACACGTTAATGACTAAGGGAAACTACAGCAGTGTCCTCATTTAGGATCCTAGTGGCCTCAGGGTAGAAGCTCTTCCTGAGCCATTCAGTGCTAGTATACATGTGCCTGTGCACTCTTCTGTGTAATCCTCATCCCCTGAGATGGAGGGTGAGCAGCAGATGTGTGGGTCAGCCAGCACCATGATGACATCATCCAGCTGAGACCACCTGTGACATCATATACTAAGTGCCTTGGGGTTGATACTCATTAAGACACTTAATACTAAGAAAGCGAATGCAAGGCACCAATTATGAGATGAGTAATCAATGTGTGTGTGTGTGTGTGTGTGTGTGTGTGTGTTTAACAATCGTTTATTTACATTTATTTTCAGATTTAATCAATTAATCAGAGGCCAAAGGAGGAGTTTGTTATTTTATGTCTTGTTTCCTGTTTTAAGTGTGTATGTACGTGTGTGTGTGTGTTGTGTGTGATGTTGTGTTGTGTTGTGTGTGTGTGTGTTTGTATACTCCTGGGCATCTGCGTCTTAGTTAAAATAACATTTTGGCCAGTGGCGGAGCAAAAACATCCCCTCCTGTCAATCAAAATATCATCACTTCTTGTGTCGTGTTTGAATCTAGTGTAGTGTGTGTGTGTGTGTGTGACCTTTATATCTGCTTAATATGTTCAAAAGATTGAAGCCGTGTCCCCATAGGCGGGGTTCACTGCTGCAGATGGCTCAGAAAAAGGAACACAGAAAGGACTGTACTGTCCAATTATTTATGTACGTAAGTGTGAAGTGATGTGTGCACGTGGATGTCTGCACGTACACCACAGGTGTGTAAGGTCTCAGAGTTCTGTGTAAATCTGTCTATATGCAAGACAAATGTTCAAATGTATTGCTACATATTTTAGGTTTGTGTTGCTTGAAATTATGTGTCACATAACGTTAAGATTTATCATTTCGGGAGGGGCCTGGATCAAGTAGGAAGAAAAAGATCTGATTCAATATAGACATGGTGATGACAGGCACAGCTAAAAGATGGCAATGAAATCCTAAATCAAGTGAAGCAAATCGAATTGGAACAAGCAGAAATCATAAGACATGAATGAAAATAAAATATCAAACTGCTGAATATGAGAATGAAACGGGAAATGTGAAAATGGATTACAAAGTTTTAGAAAATAGATTAGATTAGTTTGGAGACGTAAGAGGTTTCTCATTTCATGAACTGCTTGACCTCAGTGAGCACTGCTATAAGTCTGGTATGAAAGCATGCACACACACACACAGAAACAGAAACTGCACCCATACATACATGTGCTTCGAGCATATTACAAATGCATGCATAACATTCATCTGTTTGTACTTTAAGCTGACTGTGTTGTATAGATGTAACTGAATATAATGACCCTGCCCACCTCAAAACAATCCACTGCCTCCATACCTTAATTAATTTCTCTATTAACAAATTAGCTCCATGACATTTACCCCATAGAGTTTGGCTACATTCTGTCACTCCAGAGTTCACTGGACTCTACAGCTGGATGGAAGGACACGACTGTAAATACGCTTTTTTTTTGTCAAAGAATATCCCATGAAAAGACCAAATACAATAAATTGATTATAGTAAAAGAGATGTTATTAAAAAACACATCAGCGAGCCATACAGTTGCAGTGGGTAAAATGTTCTGTGATAACCATGGCCACGGTCAATCGAACATACACCGCCCTGCTGCTGGAAATCACATTAAAACGAAGACCCCATCCAAGAACCTTTTTTGGCTAATAGTCCATTAAATAAATAAATAAGGAAACACATATGACCTCTGGCTGGGATTAAAATCACTAATCTGCACAATATTAAAACCTAGAGAAATAAATCTCTGTCCGATAGGGGCTCAAGAGACACTAATCAACCCACTAATGACTGATGTGCAAAGCTGTATCTGTATGTATGTGTATGTTAGGCAAAGAGAAAAGGTGGGAAGGAGAGAGGGGAAGAGGAGGCGTATTCACACCATCATTAATCAGCCCCAGCCAAAAAGTCTGACTGTAATCTCATTCAAGTTCAGCAGGTTACACAAACCCTCCCTATGATTCCCTGTGTACCTTTTTATAACCCACAACGCTGTTATACAATTATTTGAGAGAAAACACGCACTTACAAAGCCAGTCATCATGTTCACATTACCTTCTATCACACACTGCTCTGGTGTGGGGATCTGCTGCACCATGTCTTTACAGAACTCTCTGATCGTCTCCATATTGTCTCTTAAATGTATAAGGAGCCTGTCGGCTTCCCCCTGCTCCTCCTTCTCTCCATCCTTCTCCCTGCTTTGACCTTCCTCAGCCTCTACGACCCCTCTGTCCAGGGCAGACATGGAGCCATCACCCGCCAGCTTCCCCTCAGTAGGCGGTGCTTCCTCGTTCTCTGATTGCAAATTCACTAATGTGTTGGAGAAGATGTTGTCTGGGCTTGGCTCCAACCCCTCACCGTCCTCCCCGCCATCTGAGTTGACGGAGCGAGAGCGCACAGCGTGGAGGGCCAGGCTCTTTGACCTACGACAGACCATGAATAACAGTCAGAGTGCTGCAAAATAGGGCGCCCGGTTAGCTCAGTGGGTAGAGCTGGCGACCCATGTACCAAGGCTGAGTCCTTGCTGCAGTGGCCCAGAGTCTCGAATGGCCAACCCCTGCGGCCCTTGTTGCTGTGCTGTTCCATCCTCTCCCTCGTCCTACCGCCGGCTTTCCTGTCTATCTTCAGCTGTCACTATAATAAAGGCAATAAAAGCCCCAAAAATATACTTAAAAAAAAAAAAAGAGTGCTGCAAAATAATAGATCTTAAAGGGACCAGTGTGTTGGATTTAGGGGCATCTAGCAAATAACTGAACACTACTCGGGTCTGTATAACCTGGGAATGAGAGCGAGCTGTAAAGTGTGTAGGAGACACTACAGCCAACGGAAAACATGACGGACTCCATGGAAAGGCTAATTCTAAGGTAACAAAAACATTCCTATATATTCAGGTGATTATACACTAATGAAAACATACCTTTGAATATTATATTTAGTTTCTGCCAATAGATCCTCCTAATTGTTACACACTGGACCTTTAACAATTAAAATTCTATCTGCTAGTCCAGGGTTAGGTTTAATTTTTAATTTATTTTACAGACCTGTTGAATCTCATCTCTCTCCTCTCCTCCCTGACAGCTTGGCTCAGGCTGTAGCGTCGCTGAAGGGCAGGAGACTCTTCCTCCACCTCTTCCTCTTCCCCCTCCCCCCCCATTTTCTCCTCAAAGGCCTGGATCTTGACCTGCAGCAGCTGTTCTGACCCAACTCCTCCTCCTGGAAGAGATACACAGGGAGACGGCGGGCACGCCTCGTCCATCCTGTAAAACACACACACACACAGGGCAAAGGGTTAGATTGCAGGTGGTGGGCACGTGAGATGAAGCTGGACAGACACATTTGGATGGATTTCAGTCGCCTTACTCTCCCCGTCCCTTCCTCCCTCCCTCCCCTTCTGGGTAGCTTTCCTGTAATTCTCGCTTTCTCACGATGACTGGCTCTATTTCGGTGTCCCTCACTCCATGTGTCCCCCTCTCTCCCTCTTTTGCTGGCAACATCTCACCTTCTCCCTCTCTCTTTGGCTTTGTTTTTCTTTGTCCCTCACTGTGGTGCCTGTCTCCTCTCTTTTGCTCTCTAATTCAAACTAATTATTCCCTCCCTCCCTCCATCTCGCTCCCTTTCTTTCTGTCCATGTTTGTTTTTGCGCGAGTGGCCTCTATAACTTCATTAAACAGTCCACTTGTTTTCCTAAAGAGGACTTCAATCTGCCCTGTTGTTGTTTTTCTTTTGCCCTCACCCCCTCTTCTTTCACTAATAAACCACCCTGCCTCTCTCAGTCCCTTGTTCTCTTGTCTTTCTTCCAGAGGACCCCAAGCAAAGCATTTGGAAGCCTCCAATCCTGCACACAATGTTCCCTTATTGGAAAGAGCTGTGCATGTCATTCCCATAGTGCAGCCAGATGAATCCCAGTCAACTTATGCTCACTAACACGCAAACACATGCACACACACACACACACACACATAATGCGTTTTGAAGCACTTTACGTGACTTCTACTTTATTTTAAATATAGCAATTATAAGAAAGTCACTGGAGGACATAATTTAATATAAACAATCACAGTTTTGTGAGTAAAACATTTTGATGGTCTATAAATAATATTATGTTGTTACAAATGCAGCTTTTTAAGATTTGAGTTTAATAAATCTGTTAAATGTGTTGGCTCCGTGTGTATTCTCTTGGCTTTGTGCAAGTTTTAACTACTCACAGATAAATACACTACTTTTTTAGCATTTCAGTATTGAAATCATTTTATTTTTTATTTTAATACTGATTTCATTGTCTATTCTGCTCCTGAATCCAGTTGTTTACTACTTGAGTACTGTGTCCTTTGTTATTTACATTACATTAAAAACAAATGAAATTTGCTTCAACAGAACTGTGTTTGGAGTAATCAGATTTGATTGACAGGGGCCTTAAAACACAAGCAAATAACCTCAGGACGACAGTTATCGTGGCTGACGAAGTGAAGTACATGACCTTTTTCCAACTTCAAACCTGTGACAAGACCAGAGGCAAAACTATACAGAAGTTCATGCAGGACCACATGAGTCAAGAAAAAAGTGCATTTAAATGATGGGAGGAAATAGTGCAGGAACTACATGCAGGTTTTATGACTTAAATTTACTTTTTCCTTCTGATCCCAAACCAAGTGAATATCTGCTGTCAGATCAGCACCAAACATTTCTGATTATGAATGCACAGATTCACTTTATCAAGCGTGTCTCATTACTTTTGCCTTTATTTGACCGTACATGTGGTTGGATTTATGGATATTCTGGATAGGTGTGTACATAAACAAAAGTAAAACACAACACTCTCATTCCCTGTAAGTGTGTCTCTCCTAACCTGCAGTGCATGGCCGTGCTCTCCTCCAGCCTCCTCCCCAGCAGTCGGGCTATAGAAGTGAACGAGTTGCTCATCCTGTAGATGTCTTTCCCGCAGCCTCCCAGCAAAGATGGGTAACGGTCGGTCAGAGCTCTGATCTCCAGCAGCAGTGTGTGGTGAAAGCTGTGCTCCATGCTGCCCAGAAGGGACACCAGGTAGACCAACGAGCTGTGAGCATGAGTCTGGAGAAAGGAGACAACAGAGGAGACAAGGAAGGAAAATTATAACATCTGGTGTTGTGAGCCATGATGGCATAAAACTACACCAAGAACGATGAAAAGAAAGAAAGAAATATGAGAGGAGAAGTAGTTTTACGGTACAAAAACATCCAGTTTAATGTTGGGGGTTATTTCTGAACAGACTGAAAATCACTGAAAATGGGACCAGAGAAGACAGTCTGAAAGTTTTGTTTCACCACATGTGTTTTGGGAAATAAAGAGTGTATTTTATCTAATTCGACACACATTAGTGTTACACTTCCAAGCAGTTTGGGGGGTTTTGGTGAAACTTCTTTTGTTTCTAAATAACTACAAACAACAATAAACACAAACATATGCAGTTGGCTTAACATATAAACTTCTTCTTCTCCCAAATGGTTTCGCTTTCCCGTTGGCCTTTGAAATACCACACATACATACATATTTCATTATTCTCAGCCTGCTTTTTGTGTAAACTATATCCAGAACATATACAACCTGCTCACCTTTGACAAAGAATAATACGTTAGTTTAGGAGGTTTAAACACTCTGTTATGCATATTTGTTGTATTCTCAAAGGAAAGTTAATGCCTCCCTTTTATATCTACTGTTTTCTGTTATATGTAAAACCATAACCAATACAATACTTTCATTTAATCACTAATTAAACTGTGAGGTTTTATCTTTACCCTCTTTGGATCCTATCCCATTATTTAATAAAAACAGACATTTTAAAGTGACGTAAACCAGTAAAAAAAAAGTAAACACAGAACTCACTGATGACAGATGAACTAAGGTGACATTATTTAGTAACAGCTCTCATGCTGTGTTTTAAGGCAGAAAACAAAGCCAACACCCCCCCCCCCCACCCCCCGTGCACAAAAACGAAACCAGGATTTATGCTTGTAAAACATCACAACGCTCAAACTAAAAAGACCTCCCTCTCCTCCTTAGACCGAGAGATTGAATAATGGATTGATGGAGGGACAGAAAGACAGACAGACAGAGCCAACCGGTGTTTACAGAGCTCAAGCACAATTTGTAACAAGGAGAGAAGAATGTAGTTACTGCACAGTTTGGGCATGTTTCATAAGCACTCTCTGTGGGATGCTAAATTTATACGTGGACACTAAAACTACCAGAAAAGGTAGAAGTTGACTTTATACTGTTACAACATGCCAAAAAGGTATTTAAGAGTGTTTTGAGGTTGAAAAACAGGAGCGTGCCTGGAGTGCAGGCTGCAGGTACAAAGACTTTACTAGAATGTGTGCTACTTCTGCAACACACTTAAGGCTTTTATTGTCAAGATGATTTTAGTTTTTCAGGTCTTGTTACAATACTTCCAAACATTACAGCATAAGAACTTGCAACATTTACAGTTTGCAAGTGGGACATTTTACAGTAAAGCCTTCCAGCCCTCCTTAATCGTCAAACGTGACATATCTTGTTTAATTGTCTGGAAAAAGCACTTGGCCTTGTTCTCATGTCCTAAACACATCACTGGTTTAACTTATGAAGAAGTTTTTATGTAAAACCTGCAAAAACAGGACAATAACAGGAAGTTCTAAAAAAGTTAAAGGAAAGAAAACTACGAACTGTTGTATTTAATTATATTTTTTCATGTTCTCCAAATAATTATGGCAGAGTAACAGACATTCAGGACAGATACAGATCTGGAGAAAGAAATCAGATCTTTCTGCCTCATGTGTGCACAAAGGCACAAGCCGACACACATATAACCACGTCCTGAAAAAGACACAACTTGGCCCATCACTCCAGTATCATAATCCAAAAACACTGGAAGCCAATGTCCTCTGGCAGTAGCGTGTGTTTGTGTGCAAGAAATATCTGTTAAAAAACGTAATTTAAATATTGAATGATTCAGACTGTACAGAAAAAAAGAAAAGAAAACACTGCAGCGGTCCAGCAACAAGCCAGATTTCTCTGCTCACTAACCTGTTCTGTCTTTCTCTCTTTCTTTGCTCGGTCAGTTTCCTCTGATTGTCCATCAGCACACTGATCTCTCTGCTTCCTTTGGAGTCTGGCACACAACCGATAACCTCACTCCCTAACAAGCCCCATGGAGATACTGCTGTGTGCATGAATGTGTGCTTTCTTTCCCAGAGCACATTCATTATTTGTGAGAGTGAGTATATACAGTATATCAAGGTAGAGATGATTTCAATTTCTGTCTGAACGGACGAACTGTGAAGACTTTCAGCAGAGTCAGTCAAGTGCTTCAAAAGTGATATTCCCGCCGTACAAAAACATCACACTTAACAAAACTTGCTTTTTTTTATTATTGATAATAAGCAAAGTATATCAGTTATCTGAGTCAATTTAATGTTCATGTCTTTACACTTTTAAATCTTCCACATGGACAACATGTCAAGTCCTGTCTCTAAGGCTTGTGATGCTTTAAAACAAAGCAAAGTTAACTTGGGTCCCTTTGGGTTTTATATTTTCCAGCTATGAGCAAAGAGTTATTTTTACCTTCCCAAATTGTCATTTTGAATAAGTTTTATAGACCTGAGGAAAAACTATCCATATATTTAACAAAATACAAAATACAACAAATGTTTTCTTTATGGAAATAGAATATAATAGAATAATAGAATAGAATATAAATTGATGATCAGAAAACACCAACACATGTATGATGCAGTCCTAGTTAAACAGTTTAGTGCTGACTCAGTACATTTTGAGGCTATGTGATTCATGAATGTTGTTGGGTCAGACTACATAATTTTGAAAGGTTTTTCTGATGTTTTGTCCACCTAATTAACACAGAGATAAATACAAAATAAAAATAAAAAAGACTAATGACATAGAAATACAAGACCACTACAAACTACAGCATTAAAAAAAAATAACCATAGTCAATAAACATGATTCTGAAACAGCAATAACACCAAATAAATAACATCTTAGTTTCTCAAAACTAGGATTTACTACAAGACTGCTGGGTTGGACAGCACTGCGGTGTTTAGAAGTTTCTTTCTCTCAGCGTAATTTGATGAACATGGTGATATATGCTGATCTAACAAGCAAGAAGTCAAGAAACTCAATATAGACTAACTCCCTTCAGGAGGTAAAGGGAGCCAGAGAGAGTTGTGCAATCCTGTTACAATCAAGTACAAATGCATCCCAGTGTGTGTGTGTGTGTGTGTGTGTGTGTGTAGGGCACACTCCAGTGTCAGCAATGTCACACCCCCTGGCACTTGACGCCATCGACCTGTCAATGAGATGGATAGGCCTGTGATGCCGATGTAATGTTAGGGTGGGGGTGAGGTGCA